GGTGCCGTAAAGAGACAGTGGGGTTCAATTTGACAGTTGATAGCGCCCGGTAACTGTAAAGGTTGGCTAGCTTGTTTTGAAATGGTTGCACCTTAACACAAGGCAAAAATCACAGCATGAAAACAGAAATCCTTATGAGAATCGGCGTTTCGTTACAGCAGCTCCAAAATCACCTGAACCTTGTAGTCCATAGTGTCCAGAATACGGTTTTGTTTTTAGTTCTTTAACGTATTTGTTTATTGTGTTCGTGTTTATGAATTGCACCAAAGGTCCTCACAAAGATTATCAGAACTGAGTGCAACTGAAATCCACTGATCACGCTGCACAATGGTTTGCTCGTGGTCTTCTGCGATGCAGACGGTAGGAAAATATTTTCGGCAGTAGAATCGCGGAGTGAGTGTGCATTCCAAAATTCGGGGAATAAACCTATGATTTTGATGATTACATCCCATGTCTATAGGTGAACTATGGCTTCTCATAAGCAGCAAGGCAGAGTTTTTACCGGTCAAGTGGTTCGTTGACCGTATGCAACGCACTTCCTAACTCCTTTTAGTGCATAATAGTCATTGTTTTAACCAGTAGAATACTGCTTACAGCTAATTCCTCATGTTGCATTCTTCGTGTTTCATCCCTACGGCACGAAGAACTCAGCTATATTGTACTGATGAAGAACTTCTGGTGGAACTTAAAATTAGATGGTGATACATCGTGAAGCTTTATCTTCGACAGTAAGCTATTTTACTCAAAGGCCGGTGGGTTGAAAAGGTATATGTATGGGGACTTAGTCAGATCTTTTCAGTACCTCTGCCTTGCGCGGCACTTTGTTCGATTCACATCTTAGCAGTGTGTAACCAGTCTATTTTACCTGCGCTCTGAAGGCTTTCAGTGTTGGAATTTTGTTTTAGATGACACCTATTTAGGCTCCATTTGAAGGATAATGCGCGAATATTCTTTGACAGAAAGTAATCCCTGAAACACTGTGGCCTAATCGGTTGGTGAGTAAGTAGGTGCCGTAAAGAGACAGTGGGGTTCAATTTGACAGTTGATAGCGCCCGGTAACTGTAAAGGTTGGCTAGCTTGTTTTGAAATGGTTGCACCTTAACACAAGGCAAAAATCACAGCATGAAAACAGAAATCCTTATGAGAATCGGCGTTTCGTTACAGCAGCTCCAAAATCACCTGAACCTTGTAGTCCATAGTGTCCAGAATACGGTTTTGTTTTTAGTTCTTTAACGTATTTGTTTATTGTGTTCGTGTTTATGAATTGCACCAAAGGTCCTCACAAAGATTATCAGAACTGAGTGCAACTGAAATCCACTGATCACGCTGCACAATGGTTTGCTCGTGGTCTTCTGCGATGCAGACGGTAGGAAAATATTTTCGGCAGTAGAATCGCGGAGGCAGATATCAGAGGATATGGTAATTCGGCCGTTTTCACGACGCAACGGCAACAACGGTGTGGTATGAGAGTAGGCCTGAATGTAGAATTTCATGTTTGTTTGAGTGCATGTTGTCGGAATCCTGCATTCTAGATATAAAAATGATTAAGATTTCAGGCAAAGCTTTTGAATCAAAGGGGCAGCGGATGGCATGAAAGTGAAAAAGCTTTCCAAGTCTCAGACTTGCACCAAACATTGATCTGTGGGCCCGAAAACTGTATATCATATCCTCGCAAACGATAAGTCAGGTAACTAAAACTCTGTGGGCGTTGAAATACCGCCAAAGTTGCTCGGGTTCACAAACCATCGCATCAACATAACGCATGTTCCGTCCACAATAAACCATCACAGGCCGTTATCGAGATAGACGGGAAGATGGAGTTGTGCTTGATCGATACAAGAGTAGGGGTCGCGGAGGCGGAAAGAGTATCAAACTAGATGCAGACCGCACGCACTAGCTGTGAGAGAAGTGGGTGAATATCAACAGATTGACGGATTGTTAACACACTCAATACGCCTAGGCGACAAGCCCTTGTACCACGCGCTTCTGATCAGCCCAGACGAAGCAGACAATATTGCGGTCGTGTATTCCTATAGAACAGATTCCGTGGTTGACTTAAAGCGGGAGAAACTGGTGGCAAGGTATGTCACAGTCAAGTTTGAAGGTTACCCGAGAAATACCTAGAGCAAGGTGCATGTACGAAAGCTTCCGACTTGTGACGTGCCGTCAAAGCAGTACGGTCAAGGAATATTCTGAACTGTTCACGGGTGATGAAGATCCGTTTGGCTTCTGCCAGTGGATTGAACGCGAAATTTCACTCTCGTTCGAATGTTTTGAGCTTGAGACCCTCGTCCACTGTCGCTTTATCTACAGGAGGAGGTCCATCAGCATGTCTAGAAATGCTGAAAAATGGCATAATCGAGGAAACCAAAATTGTGTACAACTCGTTGTGTTTGTAAGGAAGGCGAACGGAAAACACAGATCCCGAGTGGGTTTTCGGCGTTTGGATCAACCGGCCGTACATTGGGTCGTAGATGTGCCTTTGGTTACAGAGATTTCCGACTCCCTCCAACATTCCCAGTATTTCACCGTGTTCGACTTGCGTTCCGGATGCCAACGAATACCTATCATGGCGGAGGACAGGGAAAAAACAGCGTTCACGGTTGTGGATACCCAATATCAATCAAGAGAGCTGCGCTTTGGTTTGTCTGAGGCACTATTCACTGGCACTTGATGCTTCGCTTGACGAAGGGACTCCAGAATGTTTCCCAGTATGAAGACAATATCATTGTGTACAACACCGAAACACACAGTCCACTTGAAGGCCATAGTGAAGCGTGTCCGGGAAGCTGGTCTCTGGATAAATGAAGTCAAGACACAGCTCGCTCGAAGCTCGGTGACACCGCTGGGGCATAAAGTGGGTCACAGAAGGTTTAGGCCACTGCCGGAGAAATTGGCAGATTGCGCTGCCCCACATCAAAGCGGTTTTTGCGGCAGTTTCTTGGGAGAGCAGCATGCTACAGCCGACCTACCAATGATTTCAACACGATTGCTGCTCCATTGTACACCTGCTTGGACCCAAAGACTGCCCAGGGTCGAACAGCGGCAGACCACTCTCCAACTATCCTGCATTGGCCTACATTTCGTTGCCGCAAGGAACTCATTTCAGATGGTGTGATCCCAATATGGGTGTCCTTAGTTGCTAACAAAATATTATGGTGATAGTTACAAACGACTTCCGGTCGTCTAAATGTATGCTTCTGGTGGCATAATAAAAATGGGTTTACTTTCCAACTTGCAGGGAACGTGCCAATCGAGGCATGGTTGGAGGTCATATGACCTCCAGAAAACCTAGTCTTGTAGGAAATATCGAGCCACAAAACGGGACGCTCACCACCTTACCGAATGTCCTCGTTGACTTCAGGTTCGCCATCCTTGTTACTTAATTCACACACCAGCACCACAGGCCTTTGAAACATGGCAGTTTAAAAGTGAGAATAAAACGAAGATCAAAAGCGGTAAGAGTCTGGGAAAACAGAAACAGAGGGAGAAAAGTGAAAGCTAATGACATGTTTCCTGTACTGTCTTACGGCTTTCCATCTAAAAATACCCGTAACCAAGCAGTTGAAACACCATTTGGCTAAATCCGTTGCACTCGCGTGTTCCTTGTCGCAAACGTATCATAATCTAAGACCTACATGAATTTTCCAGAGGTGCCTTGCTACACTGGAATCTCTTGGATTCCGTGCGGTCTGTGAGGCTCTGTCACAGAACGACAGCTGTTGATTCTGGGACGCCTGAGTTGGTACTCGAAATATGATGTCAAGAAAGCGAAGCCTAATCTTTCAGCAGGTCTTAAAGATGTCGGCAAAACCTGAGGGACTGACGCTACTGTTTGCAGTTAACTGAGACGCAAAGCGGCGTTTTAATGCCGAAAAAGCTTGGAGAGTGCACTCTATAAATCCGACCAATCAAAGTGATACGAGGTTGTACGATGTAATCAGTGAGATTTTCACGGTCTAAAAGTACAAAAACCAAGTAAGATCCATTTAATCCCCTCACCTTCATCCAATTTTCATGGCATCCTTTAACACAGTCTAACAAAATGTGTGAACCGTACTAGAGAGAAATATTTTATTAGGTTCCCTAAAAGCAAGGTTCTAGTATCCGGAGTCTCTGCTGACCAATCATTTTTCAGCGTTAGTCATCCACGCTAACCAGCGAGCTGCAACTACGGACGGAAACGCAAAAGCCATCAGGATAGCCATTTCTGAAGCAAATAAATGGCTGGTACCCTGACCGCTTCAAACCTTATCTAAACTGTTATCCTATGCACCTGGCGAAGTTTAAAAAATGGAAGCGTTTCATGGCATTAAATACATCGAGTAATCATCAACCTTCTCAAAACGTAGACCAATCGATCGGCTCGAAATATCCTTCAACTCATTAGAGCGTTGAATATTTCTGAGTCCCTCTGCGAGCGTTTGGACTCTGCAGCACTCTGGTGGCTTGTCGCCATTGGCGGTGCTTCAAAACTTGAGGGAGAATGGGGTAATACGCAACGGACTTTCCCGGTAGACCTCATAGTGCATGGTTTTACCTTGCCACTCTCCTGGCAAATTCCCCACCCAACATAAATTCCGCCAAATACTTCCTCGCTGCAACGGCAAAAGTAGACCCCTGTAGAATGGCAGTTAGCGCTTCAACATGATATTGGGGGCTGAAAAATACTCTAAAAAATCAAGGTATCGTGTCCAGATACTAGCTACCTAGGCAGTTTCCTGCCGATTAGTCAGTAGTTGGTGTTTTGCGGACGAAACCATTCCAGATATTCATGCCCCCACAGACGAGCGAAGTGTTTTATCTGCGGTAAAACAGGACACATTCGACTTGTCTGTAAGTGCAAGAAAGTGTGTCACTTTACTTCTGACCCAAATACTGACGTCAAGGCATTATCTGAAGATATTTCTACCCTTTTTCTATATGTTTAATCCCAAAATCCGACTCATGTTTTTAATATGTTGATATGCGCTTCTGGTCAAAAGCATGACTTTATTGTTGATACTGGTAGTGTTGAGTCCATTATCCCACAGTCAGTTCTAACTGAACTCTACCCCAGTGCCGTGATAGTGCCTACAGATGTTAACATTCGCGGTATCACTGGACATTCTGTACCTTCAGTTGGTCGTCGCACGATCCCTGTAAGTTTACCCCAAAATACCTCGATCGACTGTAATTTCTTGGTTCCAGCGTCGGGACCATCGATTGTCGGACTCAAAGTTCTGCGCTCACTGCAAACCAGTATCATCTTACTGCCTTCTGTGAATGGGAATGAACTCAAACAACTGATTTCGAAATGTTCTAAACCTACAAATGGCATGAAATCTCCCAAGGTGAGGCTCGAGTTTACAGGGATGTCTATATTTCTTAAGAGACGGATTATTCGTTTTAGCTTACGACAGCCTGTTCGTCAATCGTTAAATTTAATGTGTGCGAAAGGAATACTGACTCCTGTCGAATCATCAAATTGGGCAACTCCGATAGTTACCCCACTTAAGGCTGATGGTATTACTCCGAGAATTTATGGTGACTACCGGCTTACGCTAAATACGCGGCTACTACAACGTACATACACCACGGAAGAGCCAGAAGATGTACTGTACCGTTCATCAGGTGCAAGTGTGGTTTCAAAAATCGATCTAAAATATGCTTATCCTCAAATACCACTAGACGAAGCCTCTAGTAACCCTACCGTGATCAACGCACCTTTTGGGTTATTCCAATACACTTTCCTTCCCTTTGGTTTGAACGTTTCACCCGCTGCATTTCAGCAGGTTATGAATACCATTGCAAAAGATTTGGTGGGTATTGAGACGAACCAAGATGGCGTCATTGTGCACGCTGCTGACAAAACTACCCAGGATGTGCGTCTGTTGGCTTTACTGAGGAGATTTTCTGAGTCCAATGTAGCTATTCATCGTGATAAATGCATTTTTGGTGTCCCATCATTTTCATGTCTCGGCTACATTATGGATGGCAGAGGTTTTAAACCCGAGACAAAACGTCTATCCACTTCAGTAAATGTGTCATCACCAACCAATCTACAAGAACTGCGTTCAGTTCTAGGGGCATTCCAGTATTAATCCCGCTTCACTCCTTATTTCGCCAAACATGCAAGTTGTCTGTTTGATATCATATCTTCCAATCATTTTTCTTGGTCCTCCAACCATGAGAAGACGTTGTGTGCACTGCTTAGTTATCGTCAGACATAATCTGTTTTGAATCTAATTTCCGCCAAACATCATTCGACGATCATTACTGATGACTCTCCCACTGGAAAAGCGGCAATCCTTAAACAGTGTGGTAAACCAGTGATCTGTATTTCCCGTCGACTTTCAAAGGCCGAACGTGGATATTCTCAGACTCAACGAGAAGCACTTGCGGTATATCGGGCTGCCAGACAGCTTCATACATATCTTTTTGGATCAAAATTTACCATTGCTACTGATCACAAGGCTTTGAAGTTCTTGCATCATCCAACAAAATCTCTGGCGAAGTCATCTGCCGCTATGGTGCAGCGGTGGAATATTCCACTGAGTTCTTACACCTACACAATAGTTCATCGTAGTGCGAAAATGATTCCTCATGCCAATTTCTTGTCAAGAATTACATAATGCGACTGTGATTCAAACAATTCAGATTGTCCGTTGATTCGACCATTATCAGTCAAGCGGGATGTGCTTGCTGCTGACACTAAAAGTTATGTCGCTCCCATTTTTTCTGCACTGCGACGTGGCTGGAAGCATCAGGAACGACGCCGATTTCCTGCTTTTTACTGTCACCATAAACGCCTATCCGTTATTCCGGACAGTTTAGTGTGTTTTGAGGATAGAGATGTCATTCCACCGACTCAGCGAGCGGCCGTTCTTGCAGATTTGCACTCTGGTCATCTGGGTCTCGATAAAATGAAATCCCTTGCACGCTTGTCATGCTTGTGGCCGAAACGGTATGCTGATATCAAGCATACTGCCAAGAATTGTCTTAAATGTGTACATAAGATTCACAACAGGTCTTCAGAGTGGTACCCGGGGCCAGTTACTTGTGAAGCATCTCAACGAGTTCCTGCCGACTACTGTGGTCCTTTTCTCGGTACGCACTACGCTTTGGTTGTTATTGACGCATATTCACGTTAGCCTGTAGTTTTTCTGACCAAGTCTTTAAGTGCCGAATTCACTCAGCAAGCATTGAGGAAAGTATTCAGCCATGAAGATACACCAAATATTTTGGTCACTGACAACGGCACACACTTCACTGCAAAATTCCTCGAAGAATGGTTAAAAGGTCCTTGATGTTGACACCTATTTACTGCTCCGCAACATCCCCAGTCGAATGGACTTGCTGAGAATTTTGTCCGAACACTCAAGAAGAGCCTGAAATTTCCATCCCTAGAAGATCCGAAAGATTGCGGTCAAGACCACCACTGGACTATAAACATCCACACGCTCATTCAATGAGCCTACGTCATACCGCTCCTGGAGTACGCCAACCAAGCTGTCTACTCAGGACGCACGAAAGACGTCACCCTCATTGAGCGTGTCCAGCGGGCCTCTACGAGAATATTTGCCGGCCTCAAATCGGTGGACTACGAAACGCGTCTCGCAATGCTTGATCTCTTTACCCTGGAGTACCTTCGCCTCCGAGGGGACTTAATTCTTACTTAAGCCCTGTTTGAACAAAGCTTGACAAACAGGTTTTTTACCGTTGACCCAGCAAACACCAGGCGGGGGGCGTAGTAAGAAAATTTTCAAGCTCGGAGCACACATTCATTAGACAAAATTTTTCTCATTTCGGGTTGTAGCTACGTGGAATTACCTTCCTCCGACGGTTGTCGACGCTCCTTCTAGAACCCAGTTTAAAGCACTGTTAGACATTTATTTATGCTTATCATCGCGCTGGCATACATACTGCCCCGCGCTGAGAACATAAAGAGCAGTACTACAGCCTTTTTTTCATTTGTGCCTTTCAGGTGAACGATAGCCACTGACCGACAAGAACAAAACCGATCCGGGAAACTTGGGCAAAAGCCTCGATCCTGTGTATCAATCAGTGAATCCGTGAATTCCCATCACCAATGGGGACATAGTCTAATTCCGGAGTTGAACTGAATATACCTCACATTTGTTTGATCGTGCCGGGGGCGAAACCGCGGCCTTTACCATAGCGCGCAGGAATTTTCGAGGTGCTTCTGGCGGCTCTGCAACATGTCGTCAGCCTCAGAGCTTCAGGCTTACCTTGAGTCTTTTGAAGATCTGACTTTTAATAAAGATCGGGGTATACTTAAAAAGGTTATCAAAGAGGGGTCTCGTGATATCAAACCATGTCCCGAAGACACGGTTGTTGTGCACTATGTGGGAACGTACTTCGGTGGGGAACAACATGGAGAACAGTTTGATTCAAGCCGAGCTAGGGAGAAGGAGTTTGAGTTCACCATCGGAAAAGGTATTTTGCTTTAACCATATTCGAAATCGTCCAGGTGAGGTTATCAAGGCATGGGATGTTGGCGTTGCGACAATGAAGGTTGGCGAGGTGTGCGAACTGATCGCTGCTCCGGAATATGGTTATAACGACGGGAAAACGATGAAGTTCGAAATCGAGCTATTCGATACGAAGGGTAGTTTATGACTCATTGTCACCCTTGCCTGTAGGAATGGATGTCAGCACAAAGAAGGACGGAAGTGTCCGCAAATCTGTCCTAGACAAGGGTAGAGACCTTCTGACACCCACTGTTGGGCTTGACGCTGATATAAGCTACCGGACTTTTGGCGGACCCGATAGTCAGGATTTCCGCGATGTGTCCTACATTGTGGGTGACCCAGCCACAAACGCGATTCCCGAGTGTGTGGACTTGGCAGTACGCCATATGCACACAGGTGAGCGCAGCTTGGTCAGGAGAGCGGGTCTCTCGGAAGCACCCGCTGGAGATGTCGCCAATGCCATGGAACAAGCCTACGAAGTCCGTCTTCGAACTTTCGAAAAGGTTTGTAAGCTGTCAACTTACCTCTAATGTAGGCTAAACGTCTGCAATCCTTAACCACATTCACAGAGCAAATCTCTTACGCCGAGACTCTCAAATCCAAAGCAAATGATTACCTCAAAGTTAGTGCATATGATGTCTCACTGTCTTGTTTAGATATCGAAGTTCGACCTAGCCCTGTCTCTGTACGAACGTCTTCACGATGATTTACAATACATAATTCCTAATGGGGTGGAGGAGCACAAAATATTGGATGGAGTTATTACTGCTGTTCGGCTAAATATGGCACTCGTCTATCTAAGGCTCAGAGATGCGAACAACTGCTCTGATAAGTGCAACAAAATTCTTGAGACTGATCCCTCGAACGAGAAGGCCTTGTTCCGCCTCGGCCAGGTAAGTGCCGCTTGTTGTGTTTACTTGTTAGGCTTGTCTCCTAAGGAAAGATCACGAGGATGCCGCGGTGCATTTCCGGCGTATCGTTCAAACTAACCCGAATAATACGGCTGCCGCCCAGCAGTTGCGTGTTTGTGAGGAGGCCATTAACCTAGCCAAAGAAAAAGAAAGAAAAATGTTCAGAGGTGTTTATGAGCGCTTCAAAGAGGTAATCTCATGCTGTTATTTAACTTTGTGTAGACTGGTTTAGGTGCCCCTGGCAGCGCGGATACTTCCACAACAGACATGGAAAAGTCAGCGGCATGAGAAGAATGTTATCCACCTTGTACATTTTACGAACGAATTAAACGTTTTTGAAGCATCATTGTTTAAGGCTTAAACTTACTGACTGGAAGGTTCGTCGTTGGAATCCAGCTCCAGTACTTCGATTTGTCCTCTCTAGACCTTGATAGCCTGATAGTATCTCATACAAGAATCGTCAGATTGGCGATCAACATCAGTGATGTTTCGTACAAGTAGATGTTATGGATTTAACTCTCCTCATGGATGAGCACGGTACAGCAGTTTGATATATGGACTGTACCTAACCAACAGGTTGATTGATGATTGTGTTAAGCTAGCACTAAGTCCCTCCCCCATCCACCTTTATTCTTCTCTCTACAATAAGGCTTTCAAATAAGTCATGGCTGTACGGCAGTGAAGCATTGGTGTTGAGCACTGATGTCATACTGTCGTTGATGATGATGATGAACAGGTAATCCGTGTATCCATAGATCGGGTACGCTTGTGTGCAACTTGTGAAGCTCTTTTGTAGGGGAATCGAAACCAGCTTGTGAACGAAGTTTCGTGTATTCAAAGCAGTGGACGGTCTAGTTTTTATTTAACAGTTATAAAACTTGGCAGCTCCGCCTCAATAAATCCCGAAATTTGAGGTTTTTACTTTGGTGTCTGAGGAACATGTTGAACGTTTGGTCTCCCTATCGACTATCCAAATCACTTGTCAGAACACTGCTTCAATATCCCACTTCTCGCAATCATAGCGATAGCGACGTCTTCAGAACGTCACCTTGTTCGGTAACTTGAAAACAGGCTCTGCAAGCTCACCATGGCTCCTTCGCTGTGCTTAGCCTGGTGCTGTCGTCTTGGTAGGTAACTGAGAGCATGGATCAACACAGCCAAATCAGGTATGGAGCGATTCGGTCTCAACCTAGCAATCGTTGTCGGATTTTCAACTGAGTCTCAGTCTGTGTGCACTTGGCGTCTGACTCCCGTTCATAGGCAGTAACAGATTGAGATATCTGTGAAGCTGGCTCCTCCGATCACAGTAGCCATTAGCGCTATTGACCCGATCCAAATATTTGAATATACCCGAGGGCTTCGGATTTAAGTGATCAGATCTCGTAGCCGTTCTAGTGGTTCTTTGGCACACGCACTGCTTCAGAGTAATCGCAGTTCGTTTCTGAAGCCGGGAATAGCACAAGCTGATGGATAAAGCGCGTGGTGGCATGACTTGTATGACAGTCGGAGTAGATATGTAGACAAACATTCAAACCAGGTATTCCCAAAGTTCAAGGAGATACAAAGAGTCTGTGGTTCTGGAAGTGGGGCTTCGGATCTTGACTGTGCAAAACGCATGTCGAGAGTAGGGATCACTTCCGACTGTGCCGTTTTGTAGTCGTCAAACAACAAAGCAGCGCCATCCGAACAAGTCCATTGCTTAGTATCTGTATATTCGGGTTGAGTATGTGTAGAAGGACTTATCGGTTTACAAGATTGATAGAGACCTTGAAGTTATCAAAAAGCTCAAGATTTGTGGGCCACATTCAGGGCGTTGCTGAAGGAATGTAGGGATGTGGCTGACTGATGCTTTGGAGTTCTTACAGTATTGTTGATGCCAGCGGTGGTACTCCGACTGGCTTAGATTGGTGCAGTCGTTTCGGGTATTTTCTACTAATGCAACAATCTCACATTGGCTTCATTTGTCGCGTACTTATGCCTGTTCCAAAATTAGTTTGGACAATCAAAGTCCTTTGAATAAAGCTTCTGGAAGTTCATTCGGCCTTGCACACTGATGGCGTTTCGAGACAGGATTTGAAAAATGACTGAACTTATTGACCACAACTACCCTAGGTGGGTGCTTCTAGTCGCTTTGACTGAACAAGTGTCGGATACGGAGTGATGAGGGGATTAGCGGCTCACCCCTTCGGTGTCCTTGTAGTGCTCACCCGTATGACAGGGTGATGCAACCAGGAACGTGTCTCTCTTTTAATCCTAATAACTGGCTTCCCGTCCTGTGCGTTACCGTGTATCCTGTACTTGTGGTCTCTTCGTCATCCTACACTATTCGCTGCCAGACGCTGCATCGACCGGAACAGCCGTATTTGGGTAGGAGGTTTATGGCCGTCAAGCTCAAACAAACCGAGGCGACTGAGAGAATGCGACAATGATACACAACTGACTACCGGCGCATCTGTCGAATGTGAATAACTTGCAAAATGCTAGTGGCACTGGGTCGGAGGTCTGAGAATTTCCAATATAGATCCTGTGAACTCGAAGCTAAACTAAAGAAGAGGATAACCAAGAAGGACATCGTTTTACTAGGTCACTGCTATTTTTATGGAAGGCAACTTCGTGCCGGAGAGATGAAGTTTCCGACGATATTGAGATAATGTATCAGGTGACAGAACGTGCTGTTACGAATACGGACATGTTTAGGCTTTTCATCTTTCATCGATAAATTACCGGTTGACGTAGCGCCCGTATGGCCCGGTTAAGGTGCATCCAAGCATCTTGAGACCTCAAACAGCTGAGCCCTCGGCTGTGCTGGAACTGACTCAATGGCCACCTTCCTACTGGTGATCTTAAATCGGTTCGTGGCTATTCGCCACGCACTATGCAGTTTTGATTCAAACTGTGCTTATTAGCATTGCGTGTTATCAACCTAACTGAGACAGTTAGGTATAAACTGCCTTCGTATGCGCGAGGACACTAGACCTTGTTGTTTGCATACCCATTTACCCATTGAGCTGCACCGGAGGATCTCAATTCATCATCCACAGGATTTACTACCAGGTGGCTTAAAGGACGGGTTTGACAAACGCACACACCTGGCTACCCAAGTTGGTGGTTGGTATAAGTGTGGCAGCTTGTTCCTTAAGTTTTGCGCTATCCAATTAGTCCCGCGCCGACCACTGCCTTACAGTCCGGCTACCGAGGGCCTTAGACGTCCCTCTGTTTGTGTTTGGACGCCCCAACAATGTCTCGGCCCATATAAGACCATGTGCTTCACATTGGCCGTCCCATGATACCAAATAGAATGTGAGATCCAAAGCACTCGTTGAGCTTACGGCAGGCCCTTCCTCCAGGTGCTACTGGCTACCAACCTTGAGTCGTCATTCGGCTGCTGCAGCCAATGGAACTGGTGTTGGTACAACCCTCAGTCCGCAAGCTAGGACTTAATTTCTCGGCTGGCTACTGGCTACCAACCTTGAGTCGTCATTCAGCTGCTGCAGCCAATGGAACCGGTGTTCGTACAACCCTCAGTGCGCAAGCTAGGACTTAATTTCTCGGCTGGCTGTCTGTAAACAGCCGACCCTGTACTATCCGATGTTCCATTTCGATAAAACACTGCACAAGACGAAATACTGGATGCTCTTTGTTAGATATGTCCATTTTGCACTGACGAGCTGCTGGTCTGATCGACTGGAGGGCATGCTTAAAACATTATGAAGGCGGAAGTTGCTTGTCATATCAATGCTTCCTGAGCCAGTAAGCCATTTTGAAGTAGAAGCCAGCTTCGCTGATGCCATGTCGTCGCTACACTGGTCAGCGCGCTGACCTGAAAACAACATTTACGCTAATGACTGCTTAACAATTTAAGTCTAAGCTTTTAAAATTACATGTCATTTGACAGGCCTATATGCACGAAACAATGGTCTTCACTGGCCAATGTAACAAAGGTCTCAGCAACCTTATGAGCAGTGCTTTTTCAAGAACGTAAGACTCTATCATCGTCACAACTGAAACATTGGTGGGTCCTCGTACAGCACATTTAGTTGAAAAAAATACCATGAACGAGAAATTCGACTGGGTCACCCGCTAAAACCAAATTGGTGTGCAAATTAGTATTTGATGGAGTCAATGATGTCTCATTCTCTCTCCCCATCCCCACCGCTACTCTCAAGTCTGACCTCGAGATCTCCAGTTATTTCGTTCTACTTTTGTTAGCTTCACCTATGTGACACATTGCGTACCGCCTGTCTCCTGACATCACTACTGGGAAGATTAGCGAGAACTGTTTTCCACCAAGAAGTACTTGAATATGTTCACAATGACAATATTTCACTGCATAGATAAGACACCTCAGTTCATTGGAGACACACTTCGGAAGTATGTTTAGTGTGGACGCAAAACATGTTGATCATGTTGAGCGTATTTTTGCACTTTGTGCTGATCACTAGTTATTTCTCAGCAGCACTGGGTTTAGACTAACAAGCGCCTTTGTGTTGCCTGGTGCTCCCTATCGCCGAACAGCCTTTGAGTCAGTTGACGGCATCGCCATTTGCTGCCGGCGTCATGGTTCACTCATTTACTATCGATCGTTTTGGATTACACAAACTGATCCAGGCCACGCTTTCTCTCGATGCAAATTTCACTAACTTTCGCCGACAAACCCTGGAAACGGGCTCCATATTTAGCGGTGAAAAAGCACTGCAAACTACAATCTAGAAGAACATGGCAAAGGCGGAAGAAAATCACCGTAACTGGGATGAGACAGTCACCACCATCGGTGGCGCTGGGATGTTGTGATGCTCCGAATCGCGTACACACAAGCCACTAGATCACAGAACAGTCGTTATCACTTTTTGACGCTAGGTGCTAGATCCCCTGGGTCTCCGAGTACAATGCGGCTGGACAATCAACCAAATAAATCAAACAAATCGTTCACTGTAGCACCAAAATCACCGTAACTGGGATGAGACAGTCACCACCATCGGTGGCGCTGGGATGTTGTGATGCTCCGAATCGCGTACACACAAGCCACTAGATCACAGAACAGTCGTTATCACTTTTTGACGCTAGGTGCTAGATCCGCTGGGTCTCCGAGTACAATGCGGCTGAACAATCAACCGCTCTAACATAGTCTGCGTTTAGACAGAGAGGAGCGGTGGAATCAGGATGTTCAGGAAATGTGAGAGGTTAGTGTAACTGGGAATGCACGGATACCGTTCCAGCTAACTTGTAAAACAGGACATAAAAGTGTTTCATGGGTTAAAAACTAAGGGTAACAAAAAACAGCGTCTAGA